AGCAATTTCCCTAAGTTTCTTAATTACCAGTTGATTCTAAATATAAAGTCTCAAAATCAGCTTCTGTCTGGAGGAAATAACAGCATCTGTGCATTCACAAAGGAAGCGTACTCTGATGTCTGCTGTTGACAAGCCACTTACACGCAAGCATTGTGATTTTTCTCTCAGTCTCTTCCTTCATCAGGTCCCAATTTCCTGTTACAATCTGGGACTGAATTGATTACATTTTCCCCCATTTGAGTTTATAAACATGCTGTAAACAGGTGAAACAAATCACTTAGGATGATTAAAGGCTTCCAACTCTATCTCCAAAGGGGCATTTGTAGGATCCAATTTTGAACATCATTTTGTTCTAATAACATCTTGTGTATTTTTGCCACAGTTTTCTAAATTATGTGTTAAAGAAGAAAGATTTTTCTAACTGTATTAGTCAGTATCTGTTGTTCTACAAAAAAGATAAATTGGGGGGGGTTATCTTTTCTACTGTTAGGACCATCATTCACAAACTTCAGAAACTTTTATAGTATGTACCAGCTATTTGTCTCTTGTTACTTGCAAACTGTAACAGAGCTACATGATTATGCTGTCATTATAACCACTGGCTTAAAGACTTTATCAATGTTATTCCAAAGTCTCTTTTATCATTTTAGAGAAAACAGATTTTCTTGATTTGATGAACCCAAGAAACAAGTACCAAACAGTAAGTTGTAGACTCTAAAGAAACAGAGGGGAACTAGTTCTCACTCCAGCAGACAAGAAGAGCGGTGCAGCAAGCACACCATGATGCACTGGTCATTATATCATGCAGCCTGACTGATTTCTCATTAAGTTCAGTGGAAAGACTCCTGCTGACTTCAATAGTAATTTGTTAGGGACAAAGACTAACACAAGCCAAAGCTGGAAGAAAAGTAATGACAGTGGGATATTTCATGGTCACAACAAACAAAATCACATGCTAAAAATTCTAATGATGAAACTAAAGTGCTACCTAAAAACGTTTTAGAGTCATACAAAGAAGAATATGGTATTGAACAATCCACATTCTTCAAAGTGTTGGCTTGTCTCTACCTGCACATATTCCCATCCCTGCATCTCTAAATGGTGCATATTGCATCTTATAATTATCTTCCAAGTATGAATGTTTATGTTGGGTAGGGTAATAATGATTTCTGCTTGTGATAAATTAGCGTAATGAGTTAATTCCTTTCAGCAATGTGTATTTTACATTCAGTATCGCTGCTTTATGGAGTGGAACAAGCCATCTATGTCATTACCAGCAGCTCCCATCGGAGTGAGAAAGCATTAGAAGTCTGATCTTTAAATCAAGTGCAAGTTCAGAGCCCTTTATTCAGCAGGGTGTCCCACTGCTCCAGCCTGGTGGAAGGGCTGAACAGTAGATGTCCAAAGGCTGCAAAGCAAATTGGCACAGCACCCCACTGAAGAAATGTTTGTGCGGCTACAATCATTTTTCAGTGGTATTTCAACCCTTCAGTTGCTTTTAGCCACTAGAAATCCTTCTTCAGCTCAAATGCCTACCATCTTTTGCTGTCTTTAGAGATGAGGTGTGGAGAGGTCCAAGGTATGTGTATAAATATCACAGAACACGGCAGACCTCGGTGGGTCTCTGCACTTGTCACTGTCTTCAGAAGGACTGCCTAATTTTGGGCACCACAATATAAAAAAGACATCAAGCTATTAGAGAGCATTCATAGGATGGCCACAAGGATGATTAAAGGTCTGGAGGGGAAGCCTTATGAGGGGCAGCTGTAGTCACTTGGTCTGTTCAGCCTGGACAAGAGGAGACCGAGGGGAGACCTCATCACCGTCTTCCACATCCTCACAAGGGGAAGCAGAGGGGCAGGCGCTTTTCTCTCTCATGATCAGTGGCAGGACTCAAGGAAATGGCACGAAGTGGAGTCAGGGGAGGTTTAGTTTGGATACCAGGGAAAGATTTTTCCCCCAGAGGGCAGCTGGGCACTGGAACAGGCTCCCCAGGGAAGTGGTCACAGCACCAAGGCTGTCTGAGTTCAAGAATTATTTGGAGGATGCTCTCAGGTACATGGTGCAACTCTTGGGGATGTCCTGGACAGGGCTAAAAGTTGTACTCGATGATCCTGATTGGCCCCTTCCAGCTTGGGATATTCTATGACTCTATGATGAAGTTCAGACCATTTCAAAGAACAGCGGAGAAGCAGAACAGTCATTAAGACAGATGACATCGGAGCATAGAGAAGTCCTGCTGTTCCCCCTACATACAGTTTATGGTTGGCTGATCACAGAGAGAATAACTCTTTGGGAGTTCTCTCCCATAAAGCTGCAGAGGCAGAAGGGCTCGCCACCACAGAGCTCCACTGTCATACCGTTTTGGTTTTATACCAGTTCTACCTACCTTGGAATCTCTGGTACACTAGGGTTGATTTTTGTCATAGGTCTTTTGCCATTTCATCACCCCAGTTCCCTTTCTTATTCTCTCCTCTCTCAACATAATTTCTATATGCTGTTATTCTACAATTGTCTTTTCTCATTTTTCTCATTTCACTTCTATTTTTGCATTCAGCAAACTGTTCCCCAGTCTCAGTTCTTTTGCTTTTGCTCTAGATCCCATACCTCATTGTTCTCCCTTTCAGTCCTGGCCTCCTCAGACTCTCATCTTTTTTCTACACCATGTTCAGCACCATTCAGTGCACAATGCAGACAGCATATCTACTCCTTGTAACTGTCACTTTGCCATCCATAACACATGTAAGGATACCAAAGAGTAAAAAAGTGAGCCCTAATGACAGAGCTACACCATGCGTAATTGTAATACATAAGGGCAATATTCTGCATCATACATATACATTATCCCATATCTAGACTCCTCACCTTATTGATTTTTTGAGCAACACCTAAGAATGGAACCTCTAGCCTGTGTTAGCAGAAATTCTCATTGCTGACAGAAACACTCTAGCTGAATGGACAGAGATCAAAGGCAAGGGTGAACTGAAAAATTAGCTACTGCTACTTCAGGTTGAGGCTAAAGAGATAGACAACTTACCACTCTTAGGTACCTGTAATGGCATTCCAGCAAACCAAATTATAGGTAGAAGTAGCTGTGTCTCCTTTCAAATGACAGCTAACAGCGCAGAAAGGACTTAGTTCTTTTTGGGGCTTCTCCTGGCTACAGAAATCTACATCCAGAGACAGTTCAAGTACAGAGGTGGTTTTTAACCTGCATCTCAGAGTCATTGCACGTTTTCTACTACCCTTAGTTGTGGCAATGATGGCTTCTCTAAGAAAATGCTACCAAATTGATATGACAAATCTGAGTGAGTGTAACAATTGCAGCTACAAAGCAATATCTCACTATGTTAATTAAGCAATTTTGCTTCTAAGAAAAGCCACTTAGAGAACAAGTTAGATACTTCATTGTAATTGCTAGTGTACTGGCAAGGTAGAATAACTTAGATTTGTTATCAAAGGCTCTGTAATAGAGGGCTGTCAATATTCTGTTCAGCTAAACCTAGCCTGCACAAAGGTATTATCGAGGGAATGGTCAAGGTTCCTCCACTTCCTTCCCATCTGGTTTGTTAGAATGACTATCTGCTACATTTTTGTAATCAATCTTGTGCAAAAGCCGGGTTGTTCGCTTATCACTCAAATTCGAACTAGAAAGATAAATAGCCTGCTTTTCATCTGATCCTTGTCCTCTGACTTACGGTACTCAGCCAATTGTTAAAATTTCCATCACTACAGAGATATGAGTCATTTCACACAAACAATCCATGTCTTTAAAGGGCAGACAGCAGACAGGGAGATAAAACATTTTATCTCCCTGAATTTTATCTTAGGCAGCACAAATTACTGCTGGTATCTATTGGGATTAAGAATAATATAACTGGGAATAAGAATAATGTGAATGTAATAGAAATCTGACAATAGTGCATGAAATAATGGCAATATACAATCTGAAGAAAACTAGTAACTGAAGGAATAATTCCAGGCTAGAAGGAGATGCCTCAAGAGTCCCACAAGCATGTGAAAATGATGATTTGTTTATGTTTATCACTACTACAGGTAAAGATCATCAAGCATTTGGATGTACCTGGTAGTCCACACAAAAGCCAGCTCAATTTCAAAGACAGGGCTCATGACTACAAACTTCAGTTCATTACCACATTGTACTTACTCTTTGGAGGGGAAGGGAGCTAGGTGGCAGAGGGCTACAATCCAATTGATGTATATTTTCATGAGAACTTCTGGTCTCTCAGGACAAGACACCCAGCACTCAAATAAAACTATTTAATAACTAGTATGTAATACCAAAAGCACCAGTTTAGATGGAAAAAAAAAAGAAGGCATGTAAAGGAGAGGGTAACTAATTACCCTGTGGGGAAAAAATATCTAAGTGCAGTAAAAAACATAAGAAATATATAAGCTTGAAATTCTAGGTATGGATGCTGGATTTATCACATATTTTATAGTTAACTATAAACAGTTACCTTCACGAAAACAAACATCTGTTCCATAATTACCCATCTCTCAAGTATAAAATTCCAAAAAGTAGAAATATCTTGAATGAAATCTGTGTGCCATAGCAGGTAAACATGGATGCAGAAGATTCTTGCACCAATTCTTATCAGGATCATTATCCTACGAATATTATCGTTATTGTCTTGTGGCTAATGTCTGTACCTAAAAATCTTGGGCAAGTGTGCCAAGAACCTACATGTGTACTGTAACAATTAGGATATGCGTCTTTGCAAAATAGTTGCTCTACTGATATACATATGATTAAAAGGGTGTCCCATGGCTACAAAATAATATTCAATGAACCACCTTCTCCTTCCAGCACTGCCTTCATTGGAGCCGAACCACGCAAAGATCACAGTGCAATCAGAACTCCAGGAAGACAAATATCTCTGCTTTTATCCTTCACTTTAATCCTAAGCTTTGGCTCATTCTAGATATATATGAATCTCTGAAGATTTCTTACACAGAGGTTTTTGCTTTTTTTACAGATACATGGCCATTATTGATCCCTTGAAACCTAGGCTCTCTGCAACTGCTACCAAGGTGGTCATTGGGAGCATATGGATTTTGGCTTTCCTGTTGGCCTTTCCCCAGTGCCTATACTCCATAACCAAGGTGATGCCTGGGAGAACTCTTTGCTATGTAGCATGGCCAGGTGGTCCAAAACAGCATTTTACGTAAGCTTTTGTTCTTTTAAACTTGTGCATGGTGGTGTCTAGACTTGCAATTGGCTTGGCATAATCTGTATAGTATCATTCAGACACTCTACATGCAGAATAACTAAGTGTTGGTCACTAAGAAGTGTAAAGCCAGTTTTCTAAGCAAGGAAAATAGAGCATTATGAGTGATAATGGAACACATTTTTTCTCACCCACTTTTATGAGTGCGCTCCACCTCATGCTGCATATTTAGCATCATTGTTCCACTTAAGATGTCTACTTCTATACAGATAGAGATGGTCAGAGATGGGAACATAATTCCAAGCAAGCTTCCTTTTTATCCTAACCGGAAAAAAAATATTTCTATTATCTCCTTAGAATCATTTAGGTTGGAAAAAACCTCTAAGACCATCAAGTCCAACCATTAACCTTAGACTACCAAGTCTACCACTAGACCACGTCCCTAAGTGCCACATCTACATATTTTTTAAATACATCTAAGGATAGTGAATCAATCGCTTCTCTGGGCAGCCCATTCCAATGCTTGATAACCCTTTTCATGAAGAAATTTTTCCTAATATCCAATCTAAACCTCCCCTGGCACAACTTGAGGCCATTTCCTCTTTTGTTACTAGGGAAAAGAGACCAACACCCATCTCACTACAATTTCCTTTCAGGTGATAGTAAAGAATGAGAGGTCCCCAGTCAGTTTTTTTTCTAGATCTCTCCATGAGAGGGCTGGATTTTCCCACTTCCTTCCACATTATTACTTATGTCAGATATCAGTCCAAAAGAGAAAACTGGATAACTTATAATTGGTTCCAGCTTCTGAAAGTGAGAATACCAGTCAATTAAATTCAAAATATCCTGCTTGTCCCTCTGGCAGAATTAGGAATAAGTGGCTACCTAGCCATCTCTCCTTTAATGTTTTCATTGACATTTAAAATGAACATTGTGTTCAAGGCTGAAAGCCTGTGTAACTATCTAGAATCAAATTTGACCTTTTGCTCTCTTTGAGGCAGGTGAAAGAGGCCCCAGTCATATGTAATTTTCATCACTTTAGGAGCCATACACAGACATTTCTCTTTAGGGCAGTAAGGTCACTCTCAGTGACAGCTGGGGATTCTTCACTGATCATTCACAGGGACTTTATCTGAAGTTGGCATTTAACCAGGAACTAACAGGAGGCAAAAGAAATTATGTTTGTTTTCCCAGTGCTTACATCAGCAGTGATGACTATATTGCACGTAGGCTACAGACCTGCGCTGCCGATGTGCAATAGACGTGCCATATGAAGAATGGCAGGTAACAGGACACATATCAGGGCCTTTGTATCAATATACCATTAAAATCCTTATTTTCCTCTTTCATTTATGGTCCAGATTAGAGCTCCAAATGCCTACCTTGCCCTCATGATGCTTGGCTGTGCAGCAATTAAATCAACTCAGCAAGTCATGGACAACTATACCTTACTCAGCAGTCACTAGTCCTGTTAGTCATTCTTAATGTATGCTAGTGCAGGTTCAGCATTAGACACCCCATAAAGCACTTGCATTAAATGTAAATAAATTTGCAGTGCAGTTCAAGTCTTCCAAAATGACAGCCAAAACACCAAAGACTAGCCAGTCAATATAAAAGATGCTTTGTGCTAAAAGTAGCACTCTTGACTTCTAGCAGCCCATTCCATTGGTATAGCTCCTTCGAAAGCACTTATCACCTTAATACTTTTTCATTGCAGGTATCATATCATTGTGATTGTGCTGGTCTACTGCTTTCCACTGCTTGTCATGGGCGTCACTTATTCCATGGTGGGAATTACCCTCTGGGGAGGAGAAATACCAGGTGACACATCCAACAAATATCACGAGCAGCTCAAAGCTAAAAGAAAGGTACTGTTCTGATAAATCCCACTAAGTGAATCCTGATAAAATCATCTGCAATTGTGTTGCTGAGAATCACAGTATATTCTTTCAGAAATACCAAATACTTGAAACAGCAGTATGAGGGATCTGCTTCAATACAAAATCTGACTAAATTTGACAAGTTGTCTTCTATCTTCACTAGCTGTTCTTTTTGTAACTTTGCTGTTTGTCACTAAATAAAGGTAGCATTTGGGTTTTAACTTCTTAATCTCCATGTAGCAGCATATGCTGTCTCTGCTATGTGGAAACTAGGACAAAATGCTTAGCCTTTCACAGTTAAAATACTGAGTTTTGAACAATGGGCTAGCAAACCATTAGGTCCTCTTAGGTCAGATTCTTATCCTGCTGAAACAAAAGTGAATCTTGATGTTAATCAATAGATTAAGGCCCATACGTATTTGAGACAAGCACTGATCAGCCTGTTTATAACGAATAAATTAAATTTTTAATCAGTAACTTTTTGTGGGAAATACAAGCTAATTTTCCCAGTTATTTTCTTTAACCCCTTTCACTGTAAGTATTATCTAATCTAACTAGACTGTGGATTGCTTATGAACTGAGTATTTGACTATCTCCAGTTTTCATCATGTTGCAGTGCCATTAAGGTTTCTTTCTTATAATATTCTTTTTCTCAACCTAACTTTTCTTATTTAATAAGGCAGCCTTCTGCTTTTTATTTCTGACCTCTTTTTTTTATACTAAAGTGTATTTAACCTTTCGAATTTGAAAAAAGGATACCCAAACATGGGCTTCTAACTCACAATGATGAGCACATTTTCGGTTGCTCAGTTGTTTCAGTTTGCTTCCTGATGCTGCGAGTATGTCTGAACTGTGGTATACGCTCCTGTGCTGTAGCAATAGCAGAGTGGGGCATACTGAGTCCTGAGACAGCAGGAGATCTTCTGCAAATTGTGGAGAACACTGATGTTTCCATTTCTTTTAGGACACTGCCAGGAATATGAAAGTGGTTTTTTCCCCCAACATACAACACAGTAAAAGTTGTTATGGCAGACAATACATGAAAAGAAACGTTAGGATAATTTTCTCCATCATGCATCTTCAGACTCATGAAAGTGTAAAGTTGTCAGAAGTTTCAGTTGTCAGAATAGTAGACATGCCTAACAGCCTTATGGCATGATGTACAATGCCTCCCGTGGAACCAAAAGTGTTATTTATTTTTGTTTTAACATAGCTTTTTTTAAGAGGGAAAAATGCTAACCTCTCTTGAGAAACCAGAATGTAATTTGACCAGTGTTATCACTACTGTTGACTTGTAACAGCTCAAAGATTACTGGAATGCCAACAGAGAGAAAATCATGAAAAATAATCATGAAAAACTAAGAAGTAGGCTTTGCATATTTGGCCCAAGGCAAAATTATTGGACTAATTTCCACAAATGCTGAAAGAATATCAAAATATCAGCATTTCACTCTTTGACATTACCCAAGAAGTTCAATACTATCATTACAATCTTTGCCATGCATGTTGTCACTTACCCAAAAATGTATTTTCAAAGTTATGAAGTTACCTTCACAACAGAACATAAGCAGAAAAAAATTTCACTGGTCAATTAACCGTGCTATCACCAGTGTTGCCCTTTCAGACATTGAAAAAAAAAGGAAGCAAATACTCAGTGGGTGGTGACCAGGTTCTAATTGTAAAGACAAACCAAGGAATCACTTTCTGTAATAAGACACAATTTGCAAAAGCAAGTGTGAAAAGAAAATTATTAAAAACTAGCTTGGAGAAACAGGACATCCCAGAATTCAGCACCTGTTATCATAATGACAAAGTAAAATAATCATGACATAAAAACTAGAGGTCTCTGAAGGGAAATCTAGTGATTAATATATGATATAAAGGGTCCAATTAAATCCCTGGAATACTTTAAAAACAGCATCTCTTTAGAATTCTAAATATATGCAAGAGACAAGGTGTAGCATCCTTAATTAAAGGATTTTAAATGTGAGAGTACGGGAATGCATACCTTCAACACATGCAACAAGGGATTTAAAATATGTGCAGGTATATAATTACTGCATCAGTGACTTTATTGGTAGAGCTCCATGATGGCACTTTAGCTACACTGCTGTGCTCTCCAGCAGGATTTATGAAGTAACTGGTATTTGGAAAGATGAATCATAATTGGTCATTCATGGAGAGGAACTAACAGACTGGAATCCAAATAAAGACATAACTTATTCTTCTCCAATAACAGAACTAGTGCTTTGCCTTTTTCAGAAATCATCTGTTTTTCCTGCTGTTTCCTTTTTTATTTTTTTACCACATATGAATAAATGACATGAAAATATATTAATATGTATTTTAGTACTACATTGTACCAACTAAGAAAAGCACTTGTTAGAAATAATGATGCTTTTGCTGGCACTAAAAGTTAGTTGACAAGGTCAGGATGAAAAAAAGAAAATGATAAAGAAAAAAAAGAAAAAAATTAAAAAAGGGAAAAGAAAAAAATGAAGAGAGACAAAGCCCAAAACATTACAGTGCAGCATCAAAACTCTTGGAATACTGAATTATGGACTGACGCAGATTTGGAAAAACGAGACCATACTCAAATTATAAAGCTTACTCATCATAAGTAGGTGGTGAGAATATTACACTATGAACTTACATCACACGATAAGCAATAAGTACTTCTGAAATCAAAGATCCTTATTGTTAACAAGGAACCACTAAGTCTAGACAAACAGGCTACTTTGATATTGCCCCATTCATAAAACCTTATGTAAAAGTTTGCATCCAGCCTTATGAAACAAAATGTTTTGATACTCTGAGTCCAAGTGTTTGTTTTGCACGTGACTTCCCACACCTCTTGAAACTGCAATTTTATCCTAGACATTTGTTTAGACTTCTTCAAGGTTGGAAAATAATTGCTACCTGAGGGGACTGCATAAAGACATGGAAAGTTTAATATCCTTCTGGTTATTTAAGCAATCCATCTTATCCTAGTTTTTCCCAGCATGAGGACCAGCATTCCAATCTCCCATAACTGATATGTTATATTCCATTTTCAAAATGGCATAAGGGAGTCAAAGTTTAGTATAGCAGAAAGTCAATAGAACTTGATTATCCTCAATTCCATTAAAAACACCAGCTGCAATCAACTACTCTACACAGATTTCTGCTACAGACTTCAAGGGATAGCCAAATCTTCAGAGCTCATGCCCTCGTCTATCATCACCTGTCAATGGGTTTTAAAAGTCTGACAGTAACAAACATACAAATTTTTTGCCTTTATTCAGGTAATGATCTACCAAGTCTGCCCATATGTCAAAAAATTCACTTCTCCATGTTAGGTATGCAAAGAGAACCAAATCCTAGAACACAAAATATGCAGGGGGAAGGCATCTGGTTACATCTCATCCAAACTGACCACGCAACAGCAGACTGTGGAAGAGAATTATATTGCCATTGTGCCTTTCCCACCATTTATTTACTCACAGGCCATGAGCGTTTCCACCCTGTAGATTCATTTGTGCTCATGCATCATGGACAGAAATGACTGCCATGGTGGTGTAGGAGGACTTTGCTTACTTACTGAGAAGGTTCCCACTCCAGAGCAGTGCAAACATACACAAAGAGGCACCAGCATTTCCCCAGGGAAGGTACCTCTTCCCTTTGGCTGATTTTACATTTCTGGGACTGATAAGTGAAACAACCTACTCATTCTATCATGGGGCAATGAGGGGAAGAAACTCAATTTGCTATGAATATTATAAACTCCTGCCAAAAATAGATGCCCGGATAATTTTTTGGTCCATCAGTAATCATCATCTGTAAATGGGTCTACTCTTTGACTTTGCAGCGATTGACAATGAAAATAACATGCAGAATAGAATAAATAAATACTAGAAGAGAAACAACAGAGAAGATTAGGCTACAGAATTAAACATTCTGTTAAGAACAGGTGGTGTCCTAACCGACATAGCCCTATTGCTTATATTATATTGTGTGGGTGGCTGTATCTCTCGACTATCTGAAATTTCACACAGATACAGTTTAATTATCATTTATCCAAAACGATGATGCATTGTGAACACCTTGTAGGCCAAAGCTTTATTTGGATTGAAAACCACAGGCGTACTTCAGTGCAGCCACTCATAAATGTAGCAAGCATTGTCCAGTACATTCAAAAAGTGAAAAGTCTAAGCAATATCAGCTAGCACCAGTTTCTGAACACTACACTGCTTTGTTGTAAATCAACAACCAAAAGAAATAAGACACTTTTTAATGATTCCAGTCTTTACATGGAAATGTCCATTGATAATTCCTCAGGCAGCTGAAGGTGTGACAAAAATGCCTGCAAAGTGGCAGCTTTTTATGCTCATACAATGCCTTTCCTCTACATGAAGTACAAAGACTTGAACTAAACGTTTCTGAAGTGATTAGTCTGACTTTCTGATTTTATACTTATTAGTCAGTCTCCTCAGAGGTTATACTTGCATAGTATCTTAGACTTCAGGAAACTATTCCAGAAATTGAATCCTTTTGAAGATTTTCAAAGCAATGAAACATGGCAAGTTTTAAATATCAGATTTATCTGTGGTTGCATTTGACATTTGTCACATATCTTGCTTAAAGTAAATTAAAAACAACCCAGGAGAAGGAATTCTCAGACACTTTTAAAGGCTCTTCTGAAAGCAAACTCATCCCTTGTTTGCCAGACACTGTAAGATGTTGAACTGTGTCCAGTACTTTCTCTGCTTAGTCCTCGAGTGTCATTTTATCTCTTTCAATATTAAAATGTTAAATGAAAACAGGACAGGAACCAGCCTCGGGTTCTGTCACTACAGGCAGCCCTAGCAGAATTCCTCTGATATCCTCTTAAACCTCTGTATTTAAACCATTTTGCCTTCTGGATTGCTATATTTAATGGGAAGTGTTCTAAAAAATCTCACCAATTCTAGAGTTCCAGTTTCCAGGCTAAATTTCTTTACAGATAGCTC